AATAAAAAATATACAGCAGTGAGAGTAATTTATAATTTATAAATTATATCATTAGAAAAATATACAAACAGATCTGAAAAATATTAGTAAACAATATACACAATTTTAAATCAATGTAAATGAAATCCAGTGAAAAGAACTTTTATTTTTTTTATTTAAAAATAAGATTTCATAAAAATACAGGACAAAAATTCTCAGTAGGAATGAAAAAATAAACCATAATTTAAATAGATTTTAAAAAATCTCACAGAAACATTACATGAATGAAATTGACAAAGATAAATTTTAAAAAAGTACATTGCTTATCAGCTGAACATACTCATCCATTTTCAGATTTCATTAAAAGAATACCAGAGTAAGCCATCCTGTTCTGATATTATTCAGTCATTCACCTTGTACATTACCATTCAGGCATAACCAGTGTTAGACCTCATAATTTTCAACTCCAGCAGGAACTTCATTCAGTATTATTTGAAAACAGTCAAGATCAAACTTGAACAAATGAATAAATGGAGATATAAGAACAAATGAATAAAACTCAATCACATGCCCACATTTCAGCTGCAAAATTCAGAATGCTAGTTTACAAAAATCAGTACTATTTTTCTGCCTGTGAAAGAGATAGAGTGATAATTTTCTGTCTGCAGACTACTGTGATATACAGATATGAGTCCTGGTAATGTGCATTCAAATACCCAGAAGTGCACAGAAATTAGAAGTTTCTATTTTCTAACTTGAAAACCTGTGTAAATATAAGTTATTCTTACAGTTATACAGTTGATACTTAGATGGCCCTTATTGCTACAAGAGGCTTTAACCACTTGGCCAAGACACAACATGCCACTGGATAATTTCAGCAGAACTGAAATCCCTGGTCTTATGCAGTCCACAGATACAAGTATTTCAACGCCTCCTAAGGGCAAATACTCAGCCACTGAGAAAGTAGTACAAAAATCTTCTGAGGAATGTTTTCTGAAGTATCCAGTCATGTAGTATGTCACCTAAGTATGGACAGTGTTTTCAGAAGTACCTGTTCTTCCCAAAAGCAGTTCCTAGCACCATTCAGCATCACACTGTTACTTTTGAGATTCTAATACTTCAATTAACTTAGAATAGGTCACTTCAAATTTAGAATTAGATTAACTCCTTAGTGGGAGAAAATTACCTCCCTCAACCTCTTCGCTGCACCTCCTATGATGCAGCGCAGGGAACGGGTGGTTTGCTGTGCTGAAAGCACACATTACCAGGTCATGTGGAGCTTCTCATCAACCAAACATGGTAACATGAACAATGAAATATCCTGGATTCTGAATGCAAACAACAATGTGATTTGTCATGATTGGCTGGTTTGGGATGAGATCATTTTCTTCAGGGTAGCTAATGCAGGGCTGTGTTTTGGATTTGTGCTGGGAAGAGTGTTGATAGCACAGGAATGCTTTCCTTACAGCTGAGCCAGAAGGAAACACAGTGACAGGGCCTTTTTTGCTCCTTAGCCACCAAGGAGGCTGGGGGTGCACAAGGAGTTGGGAGGGGACAGCTGACCCCACTGACTCCAGGGATATTCCATAGCACATGGTGTCATGCTCATCAAACAGAGCTGGGGGAAGGAGGAACACACGAATGTTTGGATTGACGGTTTGTCTTCCCCAGTCACTGTCACATGCAGTGCAGCCCTGGTTTCCTACAGCTGGCTGAACACCTGCCTGACCATGGGAAGCAGTAAATTAATTCTTCATTTTGCTTTACTTGCTTGTATGGCTTTTTGTTTGGCTATCAAACCTATAGATTGTCTTTATCTTAACCCAAGAGTTTCACATTTTTACTCTTCCAATGCTTCCCCTCATCCTGCTGGGAGAGAAACGACTGAGTGGCTCTGTGGTACTTAATTGCTGGCTGATGTTAAACCAAGATACATGACATTCCACTTGGTGTTTTATTAACCATGTATTTATAAACCAATTAATCATTAGACATCTTTTATTTTAGACATATGCATTTTTCAAATGAAATCTCAAATCTCTGATTATGAGAAGATAGCAAGTTAACATTTTTTGGTCCTACCAGAAGTTATCCCACACTGCAAATAAACCAGCTACTTTCAAATTTTTTCAGGGAGGAGTTCATTGGTTCTTCAAGTTCTCTTCAAGTTGCCTTTCAGAAAATCAAATATTGTCAAGTCAGAAGATAATATTCACTTTTCTCAATAAAGTACATGTTGTTCTGATATTATATTAGGATGAAGCATAGTAACACTGTCTATAAGATTTTTTTAAATGCATAAAAATGACAAACACTAATCAACCTTAAAAATGCAGTTTCTACTAAAAGAAAGAATCCTAAGGAAGACTTTCTTTCTCTAAGGAGGGAAAGAAAGCAATGGTTCAAAGGATTCAAGAATTTCAAGATCTCGAGGATTTTAAAATTGCTTGATAAAAGTCTGATTTTTCCCGATGGAACAACTCATTCTGGAAACTAGTTTCAGAAACATTACTTGAAGAAACTAATAACATGATAGGGTCCTTCAGCTGAATTAAGAAAAAAAAATTATTACTTTTACCATTTTAGATGCCTGTTATTCAAAGAATAAAGTTTAGTACCTCCTAAAATGTCAAGACTCTCTGAATTCTCCCCTTTGTCCCCCAAATACTTAGAAAAGGGACAAAAATGAACTAGCAGTCTTAATCATGTTGCCAATTGATGCCTATCAATTATGGCATCATCAATTATGATGAATATTATCAGTTATGATGAGCAGGAGACTGAGAAAAAGTAGATTTAAAAAGAAATCAAACAACATGGAAACATCTGAGAACATGAATTTGTGAAATTAGCACTTTCATTTGAGAATCAGGCAAGATTTTCATGCTCATCACTTGCTGGAAAGTATAACTGATACTCCAGCCTGAAACAGCAATACTGGGAAGCAAAAGATACAATTATATGCCCCATGATAAACATACCAAAAATAGTTAAATTCTTGGTTCTCTTTCTGAATAAGGTTCAGAACTGTACAATCTGCTCTGAAAACTGATTAGCATGAAAAACTTCGAACAATGTTTTGCTCATGAAACATTTAAATATTGGCATGGAAAATGAAATATTATTTCCCTGTATATTCCAGAGACCAAAATAGTGGGGGGAAGGAAAAGAAAATAATAGAGCCATTGCTTTATTATGTATGGATTCCTTTCAATTCCAAGCACTGCTTCAGTCTTTTCATCCATTTCCTCAAGCTTCTTTCTGCTTAAGTATTGCTGCCAATATGCCAATACTACTTGAAAGAAAGTCTAACCTCACTACATGAGGCATGAAAAAAAAAAGAAAAGGAAAATAGCTGAACTTTAGGCTTGAAATTTAAATTAATAAAACACTGCATCTATTTTTAATAGGACAGGAAAAGTAAAGTTGAATCAAATGTTAGACGTTTACAAAAGTTTAAAGTTCAAGTGATTTTTAAGATGCAATTTTTGGAACTTTCAGCAGATCAAAATCTGTTAATTCAATAAAGGGACACCTAATACTGGCACTAACTGTACTAAGACTTGAAGAAAGTTGATCTAAAAATTTTTTTTAGATCTGCAAACAGCAGTCATGAAGAATCTTACCCTTGTTTTTTGAAGTAACTATTACTTTATGCACAACCTACATGTGTAAAATCCTGACTCTGTGTCTTTTGTTGTGTCCTGCTGCACGGCTGTTATTTAACGGGGAATCCTAGTCCTGTTAGACCACTCAAAAAACACAGCAAGCTGGAAACTCTGAGCTATGAATTTCTCCTAGAAATCCACAGTAGTTTTCACAATCATCTGAAATTAATATTTGTATAGATACAGAGGGCTAAAGAAAATACAAAACTTCTTCAGATACAGGAAGATTGAGCTGGTACTTTGGAAATAATTATCATTTTACCAGATCTAAAAGACGCTTTCTTTGGTTAACAACTTCCATACTTAAAAGGGAAAACAAGCTATCAACATCAACATAGTACCCTATTAAATATGTTTATATACTTCATTGTTCATGTTAATAGCAAATCTATATTTATGTATAAATATTTTTAATTACTTTTATTTCAAATATACAAACAGACCAATTCCAGTTAAGACTAAAGAAAATGAAATATAAAATTTTTAACTTTATTGACAATATACCTTTCTTTATGACACATTATACTAACTACATCTGTATTTTTTAAAAGTAATCATTCTAGTATTTGCACCATGCAACTACTTTGTTGATTATTGCTGATTCAAATCCTTGGGATTTAGGGAAAACGTGCTTTGTTATCTGCATAGTTTACCCTGAAATGTTTAATCCCTCTCACTGACATAAAGACATGAACACTTTTCACTAACATCATATCTAAGCCAGAAGATAACTGTAAGCTGTTCTCTATGTAAACACACACATTTGTGTGTCTCTACAGAACCTCTCTGAGAAAGGTTTAGGAAGTACTCTGCTCCAGCTTTCAATGTTACCTTTTATAGTGCAGTGGTGCAGGATTACTTTTGCATGTCATAAATAACTGGAAGAATCACGGAATTTTAAACATATGCAGCAGGAAAAAAAGACATTATTATTATGCAGACAGACCTACTGATAAAAACCCCCCCCAAAAAATGTCATGGCAGAATAAGACACTTAGTGAGAAATCTAACCATCAATGTAAACTTCAGTGCTTTCTATACAAAAAATAAAATAGAAGGAAAATAAAGGAAAAAAAAAGGGAAGAAAAAAAGAAGAGCCAGTATCAAACCACATGAAGACTACATTCCAATTGTTTGCTTTTGGTATTAACTTCGAAGACAAAAGGAAACTCTTTGGAAAGCTAATTTGAAAGTAAATAAGCCTGAAGTTGATTGTTTAACTTGCCTCAATTTCAGAATAAAATCAAGACCAAAACTAAAATAATGCCCGGGGCACACTGTGATGCCTACGACTGGATTTTAATTGACTTGAAGACTGTCATAGTCCTATTATCATAAAACCTGTAATGCACTTCCAGCATGGAGGAACCATCTGTGCCCACCATCCATCTGTTTAGACATGATTGGCAAAGTGGTAGGGAACTCGCAGTGGTTGCCGCTGCCTGAAAGGAATAAACCACAGGATCTTCCAGTGAGTGCCAAAAACTTCTGAGAAGGTCTGCTGCCATGGCTTTCGGGGCCTCGATCTACAGAAGACAGCATTATTAGTGAAAGACAGCATGCCCACAGTGCACTTCAGTCAGCTACAACAATGCAGGCTGGCTGGGCATCCAATACTGGACCCTGATGAATTGTGTCCAAGCATCACAAATACAACTTTTATTTCATTATGTCACACAGCTGAGACTTAACTTTGGAGAAGAGAAACGATCTGTGTCATCAATCAAACAAAGGCACCTTTTGAAGCACAGGAGACCTCAACATTAATGAAATGTATGTCAAAACACCACAGAAAGTATCTTTTGATCTGTACTTTTGAAAAGAAAATATAGTTCCACTGGATTTGAGTAGGGAAAGAAAGGGAACAATATGCAGCTATTTTGTGTACAACCATTATTAAAAGATTAGTGAGGTGCTGCTACAGATAGGAAGTACAGAATACAGTACCATGCAAAATCATCTTAACAAACAGCTACTCCCTTAGCATTTCAGCAATGTAGGAATTTTACAGAACTTACATGTCTTCACAACAGTTAGACATTTTTTCTATACTTGTAGTGTCCTATTAAAGAGGAAAAAAAACCCAATGAAAAAATATTTCTTTACATTCCAAACTTTTAAAATGTCATTATGAAAGCAAGTAACCATAGTAGGGAATTAATTATTAATGTAAACTGTTTTGACATTAGTTCAGTAGGTAGCACATTACACATATGCCATATTAGTTTTAAATGAATGTGAGATTACACATATAAATTTTAACTCAGTCTGTTAAATTATTTTTACAGGCATGATATGAAACTATAGTGTGTAGTTTGACTACAATACCAAAGAATGCCAGCAAAAAATTACAGCATTATTACAGCTAAAAGTAATTCAGATATTACAATTAATGCATAGGACATTTAGAAGCAATGTGTACACGGTTCACTCTTGCCATACTCTCCACAAGCACACACTCCAGACTTGGAGTATCCCACTGAGATAACTACAAAGCTACTAAAATGCAGTCATTAACAGATGCAACATACTGAAAAGCAGTAACTAGTCAGAAGTTTTAAAAACATTAGCTTCATGAGTATTATAATGCAAACAGCACAACTGAAAATATACCATGAATTTCTATAGTTCCTATAATTAAATACAAATATAAAAATTGCTCTTTTAAAACAGAAAAGCTAATAATGTTCAGAGTGAAGGCAATCCTGCAACTAAGAGCAACTTAAATTCATACCTTAATTATAAAATGTTAAGGAAAGTAACAGATCTGTTTAGCTTACATACCCCCCAAATAAAAGTTTTTACATTACCAATAGTGCTTTTTTTCTCAGTTTTCACTACAGATTTCACAAAAAAGCTTCCTTTGTGAGTATCATATAGGGGGCTTCAATACACATTTATAGTTCATTACATCCCAGAACCACTTGTGAAGTTCAAAACACAATCAATGGAAATAGTCTTCATTATTTCAACTCCTTTTCATTGGTAGTTTGGTGTTTCCCTTTACTTTTCACTGATTCAGGCATGCACATAACACACCTGTCAAATTACAGTAGAATTTGAATAAGACCAAGAGCTAATCTCAATTGTCCCAACCACATACTGACAGAAGGATTGTGGTTTAATTAGGCTGCAACTTCATCATCACCCGGAAACACTATGTAGCACTAAAAACCACACTGTGCTCCTTGATTGTTCCTGCATGCAATTCACTGCAGGCATTGCTGGGACTCCACCCCCATCTTTCAGGCAGTTTTAAGGGCGAAGGGGGCAATGTGAGTGGGAAACAGCATACAGGAAACTGATTTCCTGCTCCACCAGACATGGGTGGCCCCAACTCCCTTGCCAATTTTTTCTATTCCGCTTTCCAGCTCTGAAGTGTTTTGGAACACGATCCCTTACCACACACTAAACAGCAAAAACCTTAATTCTGTCCATGACCTATCCAGCTGAATCCCAGATGCACTACAGCAAAGGAGAGAAGTCTCCTTCTCTCATGTCAATTCACCAGGATGCACAAGTTCTGGCACAGAAGTTTGTGTAGAGAAGGCGTTCCCAGTCAAGGTTACACAAACCATGCTGGCCCCATTGTTATGTGGGTTTTAACATCCACTCAGCAGTGAGGGAGGAAAGGACTGGAGGCAGCAAACTGTAAACACTGCTTGTTGTTTTGATTCCCACAGATAAACTGCTGCTCCTCTCACATTACGGGCCTGTCTTACCCCTCCTGCCACAAGTGTGGCATTACACAAGTCATTCTCCTTGTTAGGGCAGGACCTGACTTCACAGCCAAGGAATACTCTGCTTCCCTGGACTGGCTTTTTATTCAGCTTGTCAGAGAAAACACCAAACTTGCCTACCACAAAAATTCAGATCTGGCTTTTTGAATAAGAAGGACTAAGTGAACAGCAGATTACATCCATGGCATTTCAGCAAGGTGGTAATACCATTTTCATGAGATGCTCTTTAGCTCCTTTTGTAACTGCAAAATATCTCAGTTCTAGGAGTTATTCTCTGGTCAACCCAAAGCTGTTTATCAAAGAGTACAAAATAATATTAGTATATTTGAAAGCAATAATGGCAAAAACAATAACATGCTACTCCAGACTCCAAATGGACATGTAGCTATGGAATATTTATTCTCCCATTTCAAAAGAGGGGCCTTTAAACCAGCTTCAGGTGAAGAAGTAACATCACCAAATACCTTAAACATGGCTTTCTGCTGTGTTTCTGCACATTGCTTATTCATTAATACACTGTACTGCTCCCTAAAATACTGGTTTTGAGATTTTTGGGGGGGAAATCACAGATTGGAAACGGGAGATTGTATTTCATTTTAAGTATTGTCATGGCATGTTGTCAAGACCTGAAAGGGTTCTCAGGGTCTGCTGCCCTCCAAACTGTAACCTGGTAAATTAACTAAGTTAAAGTACCAAACCAGGAACTAACTTCCTTCCTTTCCTCCCTTCCCTGTCCTGTCTTCCCTTTTCTCCCTTCCCTCCCTTCCTTCCTCCATCCCTTCCCTTTCTTCATTGCCTGCCTGCTTCCTTCCTCCCTCCCCTGACCTTAAAATGCCAACATATACTTCAGATTACTTTTACTTTACAATAAAGAAACTGGGGCTGAGCAGCGAGTCCTTTCCTTCTTGGATGCTTTTTCAGCATTAAAAAAAATTTAGAGCCACATTTTAAAAGCTGCAAACTAGCAAAGAAACATTGCTCTGAAGTTTACCTGCTTAACAAGCACTGTGACTGAACTTACGAAACAAAAGACCTTCCCTGCCCCTCATACCTTCCCTCCCCCCACACTACTGCCAAACAGGCAAATTTGAAATGTACTTTCATTTGAGAGTGAACCAATTTACCTTTTCACATAAAAGTGAAACTTCACAGCACCCCAGGAAAGTCACCTCTGGAGACAGGAGATGAAGGAAAAGGAGAGTACCACAGTTGAGTTTTGACCTGTTATTTAAGGCTTCCTTCTCAGACATGAATTTTTTTTCTTTTGAAGACAAAGGACCAGAATAACCACTATTCTTCTGAGTGAAAATGTGGTCTGCTCATGAACACATCTCATAAATGTCTTCCAATCAGAGTATCATCTCTCTTATGTATTTGATGTACACCAAGGTTTTGCTACAACATCAGAATTACTGTGTTCAGCCTAAGAGGCTTTGGCTGTCTGCATCTACTATCAGCTTGGATTACTATTAATACAAATAGAACTGTGCTAAGATTTTTTTTCTAGACTCAAAGCTAATGTTAAAACCTTTTTTTGAGCACTGGCACTCATCCAAAAGTTTAAAATAACTTGGTATGAGCAAATATCACATATCTATGGAGTCCTAGTAACCTCTAAAAATACCTTGAAATTTGCAATTGAATACAAGATGAAATTGACAAACACAACTGATTAATTTGACATGATGGATCACCTAGATTCCCAAAGTCATCATCCAGACTGGAAATAAAAATTGCTCCTGCACCTGGTTATTCAGAGACACATACCCAATGATAAGCATCTTAAGCAACTACAGGAAAAAAAATCACACCTTAATGAGACAGAAAGAAATTAGAGGAAATAAACACAGGAATATGAATAGGAAAAGGACAAAGTGTTCAGATTCTGTTGAGGGGAGAAAAAATATGGATTTTTTTCACTCTAAGAATATACTACAAATCCATAAGAGCAGTTTACTTACTATTAATGAAGTAAGCTACTGCCACAGCTAAGACTGCTATAAGAGGAAGGAAAAGAATGGAGAGAAAGAGATGTATGTAAAAGCACTGACAGAGTCCTGCAAACCAACCTCAGATTCACTCATAAATGAATGCATCCACATTAGCTCCAAAGAGAACTGCACCTTTCACATCTACACTTCCATTTAGCATAACCAACTGCCAAAAAAAAATTAGAAAGATCACATGCACTGTTTCATAATGTCCTATAGGATGGGTTTTATCATGAACTAATTCATCATGAAAAAGCACATGCAAAGGATATTTTTCACTTCCTGATCCATGTTTTCAGATATTTTTTGCTTAATGATTCATGTTTTTCAAAGGAAAAACTGTAATTTGTAATTTATCGGACTAACTCCAATGTATGCAGCTACAATTCCTGTTGAGTTTTTCTTTTGTGTTTGCTTAAAGCAATCATTACAGCTCTATTAAATCCTTGCAGTAGTAGAAGGTAAGCATTATGCCATGCTTTTAGTATTTTCAAATGTGCACTGTAGGTGAATCAGCAGAAAAGTATGACGAAGCAGAAAAAGAGAAAACAGAAAACAAAACTTGCAAGCCTTCCTGGATTTGCAGCCTTTGCTTTTATCTGAAAGTTCAAGACAACATATCCTTTATATAAAGGGGTTTTTTGTCTTCTATCTAACATCATTTCACAGTGTGCATGGAAGTGACAGATGAGCAACTCAAGAATATAAAATACTAAACACAGAAAGAATACATAGTATTTGAGAAATTTTCTTTTCTTTTGGCATTAAATACATATTGAGTTTACTTCTGGCCACTTCTTAGCATTCTTTCCTTAATCTAGACTTTTCATATAAGATGGTAATTTTATTAATTACAAATATGTTCAGTCTGAAAACTATTAGTTCTATTTAAAGGTTAAACTCCTATTTCAGACTCATGTGCTAAATGAAAAATAAAGCTAAACTCTGTTACTTCTGGGGAACAGTTCTGCACTCCTCTGTGTTCTGATTAATTTAGTTAACTAGATTTCCAATTTATTTATTGGTTATTAGATACTGACTCAATGAAAAGAAACCATCTAAAACAGAGGCACTACAAGCAGATCTCTTAACTTCAAGCTATTTCAAATACATGGCATGTTTGCTGCAGACAGCTGCATAACGAGAGACACAACAAAACATATTATATTTATTGATCCTTACAAATACCATATGACAAAAAATACAAGGGAAAATATTTAAGAAATAGCTGTTGATTTTCTTCACAGAGAAGTCATTTTAATAGTCTGATGTCAAAATCCGACATGCAACATGTAGACAAAATATACTCAGCCCCTGGAACACTCAAATAT